CAGCTTTCTAATTTAAAGTTTCCAAAAAACAAGGGAGAAGTAGGGCAGTAGAGAGGGTAAAGTCCACAGTCCATAGTACTGCAAGGTGTTCAGTCAAGTAAAATTACTTCACTGAAATAATCACAATAAAAACCCCAGGGAATGTGCTGGGGACATCAGCTCCTGACCCTTCACTGTTTACCAGGACATCCCCTGTGTAAGAGACCACAACTGCAGCATGATGCTCCAGGAACAAGATCTCAGTGGAGAACATGGAAGAGAGGAGGAGTCTCAGGACTCCTGCTGCACAGGAGCAGTCATTGTTGCAGATCAATGGCAGCCACATACAGTGACTTTCTTGCAAGACTCAAGGTGTAGGGGAAGACACAAAATAATGATAAAATTTCAGATATACTACTTCTAGTGAGGCTGGATTAATGGAACTATGTAGCTGTTCTCAACTTGTTTCCCAAGGTCTGTACAGTCAAGTCCTTTAGAAATACAATTTCTGTGTTAAGGACCTGTGTTCTTTGCCTCTGTGTTTCTTCCACCCCAATTGAATTAGGAGTTCAACACCAGATGAGGGTTCTCAAAGCCTTGTTAGACTCAATTTCTCAAAAGAAATTTCTGTGATGGTTTGGGAAGTTTCAGGTTCTAAATCCTGGCCACAGAGAAGAATGAATGTTTGTATGAAACTCAGAAGGACAGTTTTTGGTAGGTTTGGTTAGCTTCAACTACACTAATATGTTTTTTTCTCACACACAGTTTCAATGTTTTTAGCAGTTTAACTGGGGACCAAAAAACAGTGGGAACCAAAGAAGAGTTGGGAAATGACTGTTAAAGAGTCCACATTAGCAAGTAAAAATTCTGAAGCTGGGGATAATTTAGATTCAGGACAGGATAAACAAAAGGTTAAACAACTTACATGCCATGATTTCAGTAACCACTTAGATACAACATACCAAATTAATTCCTCATCTATGGTATTACAGTGGGGTTGCATCAAGTTATGAATTTAGCATGCTGACCCTGTTCAGTGAGAGATGAAAAGATGTACAGATAAGCATCACAAAACCACTTACAATGTCATTTCACAGAATGCTTTCTTTTCCCTTCAGACATCAATGGTGAACAGAAGTAGTTGCAGCAGAGCTGGTCAGCAAAGGCTACCAGTAGAGAAATACTGAGGAAGAAGAGCCACAAGCCACTCTAAATGAACAACACTGTTTTGTCATGACTGTATTTGAGTACTTACACTCCAGATTAGTTCTGAGTGTTAAAAAATTACCAGAAGCATGTTCCTCTGTGAGTTGAAGTTCAACTTTGTCACATATAAAGGAGTATAAATTGCCATGTAATACTTAATCACTGCTGGCTTACTATTGAGCCAACATTATTTCCCCTTAGTCTCTTAGAGCTGAAGAGTTTGTGAACAGGGTGGTACAGACTATGCTGTTGAGATAGAATGCTGAAAACAGAAACCATATCAAAACAAACTGTTGGCAGCTATCTATCACTGCTGGGATTTCTTTTCTCTCTTCACATATTCAGGCTTGTGGGTAGGTGTCCCAAAAAGCTTTGGACTAATGCTAGCTTGTTTTCAATGAGGAACTAGCATTCTTTTTCTCACTCACCAATGTTCTGCAGCAGATGGGCAGAAGTGAGAATCTTCAGACAGAGGTACAGGACCAGACACAAATACAGAAACATAATTGGACAGCTAACAATACTTTATAGCACAGACCAAATTAACTTGATTCTCGACAGTATTTATTCCACTGCCACAGTGCTACTAATCTTAACAGAATTAAAAGCTCTCAACAGAATTAAGAGTATTTTGTCAATGATGTGTGGCACAGATCTCTGGATATGGATAGTCAGCTTTCCACCAGTGTAAACCACCCATGTAGACCAGCCTGCCATGAACAATGTGTTTGCAGGGGTTAGCCTATCATGCAGATTAAGCCTGAGTTGAAGCAGCCAAGTGTTTTGATCCTCTGGCAGTGTGAAGAGCAGATGGAATATGAATCCTCTGAAATATCATACCATGCAATTTATAATAATCAGGGGAGTGATGAGAAAAACCCGGGATGATATTATGGAAAATGGGCATTTTAATAATCCGGCTTCGGCAGACTCAGAGAAATGGACAAGAGATTCCAGACATATTTGAAGACTTTGAAGGCACCAAGGAAATAATCCATTTAATTCAATAAAAGCCCAGTCTGGAATTGCCTCATTTGCAGCTTGCTTGACATTTGCTGAAATTTTTGGTGCCAGTAAAATAAAATCGCTCTCTCAGTATAATTAACTCACTAACACATTATTGAATTAGAAATTAAGTGTGCATCTAAACCTTTTGTCTCAAACCTAAGAACATGAAATATTTTAACCTAAATGGGACATGAGAATTGACTAGTGACATTTGAATGAAGGAACTGGTCTGGACTCTGCCATGGGCTCCTACTGTACTTTGCACCATATCAAAAGCACACTTTAAATAATGTTCTGGTTTTGGCTGGGATAAACATAATTTTCTTCTTAGTTGCTGGTACAGTGCTGTGTTTCGAGTTCAGGATGAGAATAGTGTTGATAACTCACTGATGTTTTAGTTGTTAGTGAGCAGAGCTTACACTCAATCAAGGATTTTTCAGCTTCTCCTGCCCTGCCAGGAAGCAAAGCTGGGGTAGCACAAGAAGCTGGGAGTGAACACAGCCAGGACAGCTGACCCAAGTTGGCCAAAGGAATATTCTAAACCTTATGACCTCAAGCTGAACAATGAAACTGGGGGAGTTGGCTGGAATGTGGGAACCTGCTTCTCAGGGATATGCTGGGCCTAAGTCAGCAGGTAGTGTGCAATTCCAGTGTGCATCATTTTCCTTTACCTTCCTTATTATTTTCCCTTCCTCTTCCTGTCTTAATAACAGCTCATGAGTTTACCTTTTTTCTCATTTTCTCCCCCATTCCAGTGTGGGCAAAAGAGGGAACAGCTGTGCTGCGTTTAGATGTCTGCTGGATGAAACCATAACAAAAAACTTCAATTCACATTGGGTTTTGTTGTGCTTTTTTTTGTTTGTTTTTTTCTTTTTCAGATGGACCCCTATGGACATATTGTGACACCTCTATCCATAATGGAACCTTGCTAGCTACACTATAAATCACATCAGCACAGAAGCAGATGGCCTGTGGGTGCATGTCACTGAGCACACACTGCAGCTCCCTATGCAGTGGCTAAGCCACAACCCAGTACTAAACCATCAAACCACTATTTATGACCTTATTTGTCTCCCAAGACCAATGGGGATAACCCAACCTCACGTTGGGGCTGATGGAATGCATCCTCTGACTGGACACTGAAAGGCAGTGACACATCTTGATCAACAGTCACTGCCTGCCAAAATTCCTCAAACAGTAGGAAATGTCCACAGCCAATAAGCCTCAAGTGCTTAGCATCTAACACAAGCACAAAAAGCCAAGGGGGACACTCCCCTCTTACCTGCTCAAGGAACAGAAAATATCATTGCACTGCAGCTTGTCCATGAGCTGCATCCTGATACAGCCAGATGTTGTGCAAAACAGGGACTGCACAGAAGAACTGGACTGGTTTTGTGTGATATAATTCTCTTGCATTTGTTTCCCAGGCCCTTTGCTTGCAAAGTGGTCTCTTACTTCATCAGTGAAATTGAAAAGCAAATCAAGATCTGTAAAGAAATCATTGAACGTGCAAATTACAGCATCAGAGCTTTGTGGCATTTCAGGTAAAAAAATATACTGAATAAAGATTAAAGCATAATTGGTGGAAGAACAAAGATGACAAGGAATGATACTATTTTATTTGACTAAAAGTGAAGTTGTCTGACAGAGGATGGATGGATTCACTTTTACTTAGAAACACTATCCACTTCTTGAAATGTCAACAGAAGAATTCAGGAACTACAAATGTGGTCAAATATCAAACAAAAGATGCAATTTAAAGTCATGAAACAACAGATTTCAGTGGCATGACACATCCTTCAGTTGGTCTGCAGATTGCGCCACACAGCTGCAAACAAACTTTGAGGGTGGTAATACAAAGGAGGCATAGAGACTTTCTGGATATATTACAGTGTTATGGCACAATTCTGTTTATTAAGCCAATCTTTCACTCTCTGCTTTAATGTCTACAGTTATTGTCCCTCTTCCCTTCTCCAATTCAGTTGTACAAATGGAGTATCTGCACGGGTCTGACCCAGGCCAACAAGGCTGAATCTCTGCTCTCTCCTGGGGAGGTGACACTGGACACTGGGGGGCTGCAGCACTTGTCCCTTCCTGATTTTGATCTGTGTGCCCAGGTGTTGGTAGTGGAAGGAGGGCTAGAGGGGTGGCTTCTGAGAGAAGCTCCCAGAAGCCTCCCCCATGTCCAGCATGGGAAGTGCCCAGAACAAAAGGGCTATCCCCATTGGCATATCCCACTCCTAGCAGCTTCTAGCTGCTTCTCTGCAAAGAAAATAGGGCGTTCACTATGTGTTTACCAAGATCTCACGGCTTTTGTCCCTGGGAGTGCTTCTGTCAGTGGAAGGAGGCTGGCAAAAAGCTCCAGCAGTACTGTGTTGTTAGCAGGAATCAAAGCCTATCCTACAAAAGCAACTTCTCCCTATGTACAGAAACTGCAGCCCCTTAGATGTGTTCTTCCATATACAAGAGCAGCGATACTTTTGCTTGTCCTGTCTTTTTCCTTCTTACATATTCCCATGTACTGTTAGTAATTTCAACTTCTATCCTAAAGCATTCAATAGAGCTATCAGTCACTACCTTTTTCAGGATATTTTAAGTCACCAATAATGAGATTTTTCTCTCTTGGAATGTTTTTTTTTTTTGCAGTCACTTGTAGCTCACATAAGGTTTGTGCAGTATTTTTTGTAATAACTCTCACAGGAAAATGAAACCATTTAAAAACAGAGTAATAGAATGGATGGTTGCTGACCTGCTGCGGGGTGAGTAATTGCTCAGTAATTAAAGCTCCAAAGACCGTTTTATAATTTTCAGTCCTTCACTGGCACTGGTGCAGCCTTGCTTCCTGCTCCAACACTGATGTAGAGGTGATAATTATCTGCAGGACTGTTTTCTAGCTCTCCAGACAAGAGGTGCTGGTTAAAAAAAGTGCATGTCAAATAGCAGGCATGTCTTAGAAAGGCATTAAAGGAATTATCAAAATACACGTCAACATCTGGATCGATTCAGGATTATTTCTGGTTATACATGCCAGAGAATTGCTGGGTTCTAAAAACAATTGAATCTAAAATGGTTATCCTGAGGAAAGGCAAGGAAAAATCCCAAACACTTTACACATATATGTGCTTGTATAGTCCTGGTTTTTACACTGCCAATACAAATAATTAAAGCAGAGATGGCTGTTGTTGGCAGTCCCAAATATTTAGGATCAATATAACAATAAGGAGTGTATAATGCCACTTTGGGTCAATAATTCTACTTGATGTGGCCAAAAGCCACATCCTTCTGTAAGTAAAATAACTCACTTGTTTGTTGCATAGGCCAAGGATACCCTGAGTCGATCCGTATCTAATATTGATATATTTGACAGAATTATGGGATAATACTAAAAAAAAAACCTACCTGGTTTTTACTCATTCTGTCAAGATCTGACAGCTGTGTCAGCCTCAGGAGACCACTGAGTCCATTTGGCACAAGGCATGGAGAATTGCAGTGGATTATTTGGGGCTCAGCTGCAGAGCTGAGGAGTCTTCCTGCTTTCAGGAACATAGGATACAGCAGCTCCATGGGAGCTGGGGGTAGGACACCTTCAGGGTGACCAAGGCAACCACATGCTCTATTTATCTCTCTTGAGTTTTCAAACCACTGATAGAAATGGTAATGGTAATGGTAATGGTTTTGGACCAAGTAAACTATACCGAGTGATGTGGAGCACTCCAAAAGGCAAAAGCCAAAAATCAGTGAATATTTGATCAGGCTGCAGAATTTTGCTGCTCAAGTTAAGGCCATGCATTCACCCTCATATCTTTCTTTCCCACCACCCAAAAAGGGCAGTTACACCAAATTAGCAGGAGACACACTAATAGAATAGAACAGAGTGTAAGGAGTAAATAAACAAGTCCTTTGTACCTCAGTTAGATGGTCCCATAATGAAATTTAGTTAGGACTGGTGATCTCACTGGAATACTCTGGGCAGTCTAAAGGGGGTGACATGCAAGATCATGCTGAGCTAAATTGTCACTTTACCCATTGTCAGTGTATGTTACCTTGCTCCTGCAGCCACCCTAGTGATGCTGCAGTCAGACAAGGTGTCACTTCTTCACTGGGTTGCTTCATTGAGGCTGCATAAGTTTATATTTTTTCCACAGCTACTTGAAAACCACCATTCTTTTGAATAATGTGGTGCACTTAGTATTAATTTGATACAGTGTAAGTTACAGGTACTAGAATGCAAGGAAATTGCCTTGAACAATTAAAAGATGTCTTTCAGCTGAAAACAAACTTAAGATTGCTCTTAAGCTCTTAAGCTCAGTACCAAACTTGCAGAAAGTGCAGGGTAGCAGAAAGCAGCAGAGCACAGCAGTAAATCTGCAAAACCATTAGTCTTCTAGACAGCTGTTACAAATACAGCAGAAACTTATGGATCTACATAATCTCAAATGTAAAAAGTCATACCTATCATTCAGAGGAGTGCTTTACAACCATTAATTAAACCTCATGACACTGCAGGGAGTTGGTAAAATGCTAATGCCAGTTTGGCAGATGTGTAAATTAGCCTATTTATCATTCAATATTTGAATGTACTTCACATCCAAGGGAAACTGAACTGGAACCTTTTTATCTATTGATTTTCCTATGCTAGAGGATATGCATGATATCTCAAGAGATTTGGAGAAGGAACATTGTTTTAAAATGAAATTATTTGGAATAATAGAGCCTCTTTAATTTCCTACCTTTCCACAACAAAATTTAAAATAAATACTCTCCTTCTACTGTACCTAACACTTCAGAAAAAAACAGATACAAGTTGAGGAAGGTACAAAATAAGTTACTATTTCTCTGTTTTATTTCCCTACTCAATATTCTCAAGGATCCTTTTTCTGTAGAGATCATTAAAGATAAGTGTGACTAAATTATCAACTTACTTTCAAGTCAACCCATTCCTAGAAGCAAGGAAGCAGCACTAGGGGCACAACACCACATGACTTCTGATTTCCAAGGAGGAGGGAAAGGCAGATGAGAAGTAAGCAGATGCTTGATTTTCAGATAATTTAGAAAACCTTAGGTCCATTTGCTCTGGAAGACAAATTTAGTTAATGCTTTAAGCTTTCAAAAGATGAGGCACATTGGAAGAACACATAGAATGAAATACTTGTTGTGAAGCCTTAGTAGCACACTTGGTGAAGGGTAATTTAAGATGTCTGGCCTCTGAAGTCAATAGACACTTGAAAGGACTGGTGGTATCTCTAGCATATGGCACTTTTCAGAAGTGTTATGGAAGGCCTGACCTTGTAATTTGGTGGGCAGGAAAGCAGCTGAAGCTGAGTGGTCTTAAGGCTTTCAGCTCTCTGCCCACTTTCCATCTGTTTCAAAAATCAGGACCTAGCAAAAAATACATTGCAGAATAACCACAATACTGGTCACACAAACTTATATAGTGTCTCCCCATCGAGCTGTACCCTTTGTTGGTTGTAAAACCTTTGGAAAACATGGCAGATGCTGAACAGGTAGCTGAAAGGGACAATGTAATGACCTGGCAAAGCTGTAGGAGCCTGAATATGATTGCTAGTAACATTACAGCTATACAACTTACTAAGCCAGGGGTAATCAGATCTCCTCCTACGGGCAGAAAGCCGAGTCCTGCACTGCAGAGAGATGCTTACCTCAGTTCTCTCCATCTTTAGTTAGTCATGCTTTGGCTACGTAAACTCATCCAACTTCCTTTGAAGCATCATGTCCTGACAGCTGCCAGGAACAGGATATCTGACCTGATAGGTATAGCAAATCCTAAATTCCTGGAAAAGGTCTCCTTTGAGCATACTCTTTGGTATTTCCTTTCCTATGGGAATGGGCAGAACTGTCAGCCTCCTTGGAAACTGCAATTAATCCAAGATGAGGAGCTCATTGCTGCAACAAAGATGCAGACAAAATAGGGGTTTTTCTCTCAACATGTCTACTATTCAAACATTCTGGTCAAGCCACATTCAGCAAGTTCAGCTTTGAGCTTGAAGCCAGGTGCTGGAGCTGTGCTCCAAGGCTGTGCTCCTACTAAAAAGTACTGTGCTAAATAAATATCTGATATATCTGGGACTTATTCCCTGAAAGGATCACGAAGTGTTTTGCATGCTATATATAGGAATCACTTCATCTACCACCAAAATGTGGTTACATATGAAGTGAAAGGGAGGGCAGAGAACAGAAACACTGCAGCTATGATGTGAAAAATAGATCAGCTAATTTTAAAGGCAGATGAATTTCTTGAGCCTGAATCAGGTCCTTTGAATCTATTTAACAGAAAACATCAGAAATATCTTCATTGATGCCCTGTTGTCAGGTTCTTGGCTCCCCATTACTGCTGAAACACAGTGGTCCTATGTTTCTGTGGCCCGACTTGAATTCAGGCACTGATGTACATTTTGCACTTCAATCAATATATGATTTTAAATATAATCATGAATACCAGGAGGACCTGCCACAACTCCAAACACTGGAGAAAAAAGCAGCAAAGAAGGAAAGATTGTTAATAAATTACCTGACAACAGCCATCCCTGTAGTTCACCGGAACAGTGACTAATGCATTCACCCTCCCAGCAATCCTGAAAAATAGAGATCATCAGTTACACTGAGGAGGAACCAAAGGCTCAGAAAGACTCACACCCTCCATGCCCAGCAGCTGTTCTTCCTCTTAGATCACTGTATCAAAGTCCCATCAATGTCTCTAGGCAGTGGCTGAGGATCATCCTGTCTCCCTGGGGACTGGACAGGCCCCACCAGAGTCCGGGACCTAAAGCACTCCCAGGATCATGGACCAGGATTGACAGTTTGGTGGCTTCTTCCAGCTGTTGCTGTGGGAATTAAGTGTATTCTGGGGTATTTTCCTAACTACTACTAGGCTGTGCCCAATCTTTCAGTTTGTGTTTATCACTGACCATGGAGGTGGAGCTTTCCTCTTGGCTCTTCCCTAATGCCACACCATCCATCTCTCCCTGGGCCTCTAACCCTGATCTTTGGCTCAAGGCACCTCCAAAGCAGAGAGAGCAATGTTAGAGCTGGAGAAGGAACCCAGTGCCTCACCAGAGTCTGACATTACCAGTTATTCAAATTGCATCATCCATCATCTACCTATAGCCAGGTTCCAAAGCAACTACACAGCTCACAACTCTGGGAGCCAGTTCTGGAGCTTTTCACCTCAAGGTTACGGGTTCAGCCTCCCTTGGTTATAATTGTAAGCCACTTTTGGGTGTTTCCCTGACTTGTGTGTTCATTGCAAGACACTTACCTCTACCTCTCTCCACCTCTCACCTCTTTCATCAGATTTTTTTTAATCAAGCCCATTGTTTGGATGGATAAATTAAAAAGGATACGAAGAAAATATCTGTATGTGGCAAAAATGCACTAGAATTTTTAATGCTTTTACTTTCAACAGAATTTTGAGGGACAGAAAAATACAAAATATTCGTCTTGCTTTTTCCTAAGTAGACAGGGTTGAACAAACCAAATCTAGCACTGTGCTGCATAGAAATGACCATGAGGTGAGCAAGATCCCATCTCCTGGAAATAGCAAAAAAAGATGTCAAGTCAGTGAACCTGTGAGAATAGCGTAAAACCCCCAGTCTCACTAGGAACATAGAATTTGCCACCCTGGATCAATTAAAAGACTCCTCACGAGAGCGGTATTTTTGCAAATACATGGAGTAAAAGAGCTGAGTAAACTTATTTAGGATGTCTCCTGTGAAGGGAAATTCAGAGGCAGACTGATATCTATTTCAGGATAGTATGAAAGAAATGTATGCTGCTCCTTTACAATGAGACACCTCTTCTGTAGATAAAGCTAACAGTTAGACATTATGAATTTGCTTGCATTCAAAAAAATCCCAAACAATCAACCAATAAAAAAACCACCAACCAACCCCCCCAATAAAGCAAACAAACCCCCTCCCCACCCCAAAAAAAAAACCCCAAAAAAACCCCCAAACCCACCCCACCAAAACCAATCAATGTGAAAATCATCTTTTCTCTGAAGGTACATTTAAATTTTTTTCCAAAGTTCAGCTTTCAGGGTCATGCAAGGATGTGAGAGGAAAAAAAAAAAAAAAAAAAAAAAAAAAAAAAAAAAAAAAATCTCAACTTCCACTTTGAAAAGAGAAAAAGCAAAATGCTTTTAGCCCCTGTGACAAAGATTTTGAAAATAGAGATAATAAAGTCTCACAAGGCAGAAAACAAGCAAAAAATCTTATTTGTATTATTTTAAAACTTTTAAAACTTTTTTAAGCCAATAACATAATTAGGGGGCAGGGTGGATGTCTGCTCCATGATATTTGAATACCTGGTTTGGAAATACTGGATTTTATAGTATTATTCTCTACTTATTTTATAGTTTTAGTATTAAGTACTAAAATTCCAAGTTTCAGTGGAGTAGAATGATTTCTTCTTCTGAGGTGATAAATCCCTGAAAATAATGGAAATACCAACAGAATGTAACTGCACTGTCTGAAAAGAGTCACCCTGATTTTTAGTTTCTAATTAAAAACATATTTCTTTCAAAATTGGCTCTTACATAACTTGTAAATCATTTTGGTGGCAGCTCAGAGGGAAATAAGGGAAATGTTGATCTTGGCAAGCTTGACCTTGGCAAGAAAAAAAGAATTTTCATCTGAACTTCGAATTCTTAAAACCTCTTAATCCAAACAATATATATACTGGGTCAAAGAGCTCATTAAAAGAAGAAAAAGCAAGTTTGTTAGAAGAATGAGCAAGTTTAAAGTCGCAAAGAAATTGTCAGGTATTCTGCTGCCTCCCTGTGGAAGCTGGGATGCTTTAACTAGAATACCTTTTGAAACCAGAATCGAGTGCAACAGCATTTTTAGTTTAAACTAATTTGCAAGAGCATTTCTAATTATCTGCTGGGTTTAAAAGCACAAACAATGCACGGGAGCTAAACAGATGGATGTTGTTGAAGTATGTGGATGGGGGGATGGCCATGAAGGTGCTGTGGGCCCTGCACAGGTCCCGAGGGCTGTACCTGCTGCTGGTCTGGTGGCTAAGACTGTGCTTTGAGTCATCAAGTAACCACACATTCCCACTACTCCTATACTAAGCTCAAAAGGAAAAAAAAAGAAAAAGTTAATTTTCTACTGTTTTAGCCCCAAACCTGCTCTCTAGTTAGTGCAGGTAGGGAAGCAGCAAAGTGTTGCCAGTGAGTTCGATTGCTCTGTAAATTGAACTTCCACTTTGGGTCTTCCTCACCCATATGGAACACAGCCACGTGTGCTTCTCTTCTGTGCCACTACTGAGGATAAAGTGTGGGGGTAAATAAATGATCCTTCACTGAGCTAGGAAAATACAGAAGACAGTAGCAAGCCAAGGCATTCTGGAAAAGGCTCTTGTAGGGAGGGAAACCCTGGAGAGAGCAGCACAGGGGACTGTGCAGGGAGATGGGGAAGCAGTGGCACTCCTTGGCCAGCAGCAGAGGAGAGACGAGCCAGTGCTGACTCAGAAGGCAGTGCCTGCCAGAATAAGGTCATGTCAGGGTCAGCACTGCCCTGCCCGCCCTTCTCCAGCACTGAAAGCACTGATCAGATCTTTGCTGTTGCTCCTCGTCTCATATTTCTACTTCCCAAATTCCTTCAGCAGCTGGCACTCACAGCTATGTGATCCAGGTGCAACGGAGCCTATTCTGGCATTTCTATTAAAGAAGAGATGGTGATCTGATTCCATCTCCTCTGAGCCACCTGAGCAAGCTAAACCACCCTCTGGAGATGCACTGCTCCTTACTTAAGAATTGAATTACATTCAGGGGGAGGGGTGGGAGAAGCATTCCTCTAGAGATTATAAAGGAAACTCAGGAGAGCTTCTTCATTTATGTGCTTAGAATTATACAGCATTAATAACAACTGCATGAGCACAGACTGGGTGTTCAGCCTACCAGCTCATTGAACATATCCAGGACAAGCTACCACTGATTGTTTTGGCTTCTCTGGGGCACTTTCCCAGGAATCACAATAAGGTGAGTGCACAAGAATGTGGGTTTAGTGGGGATTTGTGTCATTTGTCCTCTACAAAGTGGACAGTGTCATCTCCAGGCTCAGGCCAGCATAGACTGTGAGATCACCACATTCAAGCTCTACAAAAGATCTCAATGAAGCCACCAAAACTGCAGAAAGCCACAGCATATCACCTGCCAACAGGTGATGAAATATAATTACGATTAGGTTTTCCCAGCTATAATTCCCCCAGACATTTTCTGTCACATCTTTCTCATATGGCTTTAAACATATCAGGTCATGCCTAGTCCATTGAGAAATAACACAGCAGGACATCACTGAGCTTGGAAGATTCTTATGGAGATATCTGAGCAATCCACCTGAAAGAGTAGCTTAATCTTCAAATAATCACAGTATTTTGTTTTATTAGCATTAAATATTGCCACAGGCTGAAAAATTATCAACTCCTAAAAATATAAGATTGCTTTTTTGACACAAAGAGCCTCAATCTGTACATAACTGTCATATTTCTGACCACACTGATGAGCAAACATTAATTCCTGATTTGCTTCTCCCTTACTCTGCTCCCTTTTTCATTCCTGTGAGGGTGGCATAGCCTTGTTTTGTTCAGGATGGCCTCATGTCTAGGGCTGACCTGGACAGTCCTGGAACACAGACTTTACCTACAAACCACAGCCCCGGTGAGTTCCTAATATCAGAAAGGGCCAGGAGGACACTGGATCTCACCTGATTTATACCCTACCAATGTGAATTTTCTCATGCAGACCAGATGTCAGTTGAGCAAGAAACAGCAGCACCAGCAACAGCTCCATTTTCCACTTCATATAACTATGGAAGCTCGTTGGCAAGATTTTTGTTCCTGCTAAATTTCTCACTTTTTTCCCTGCCTCTGTTGAAACTCTGAGAGAAAATTTCAGTTTTCAGAATTTTGACTAAAAAAGTGAAACAACTTAAAAGAAAACCCAGCAGACACTTTAGGGAAAGGGAAAATAATTTGTAACCCTAAGAAAAACGCTACTTTAATCCCCAGTACCACCTTTGAAACAAAACACTTCTGTTATTTGCTGCCTTGCATTCCTGTCCTTCTCATGAGAAGAAATATTAAAAAAAAAGACTTTTGGAGGGATTTATTTCAGTTCTGTGATCTCTAAACCCCTTCTTCTCAAAGAAAAGGGCACAGAACTCAAAATAAGAGTGAGTGGGAAGAAATGTTCTGTAACCATCTTCTTCCATGGAATAAAAAGGACAATGTAAGTAAGGAGAAAGAATCCCTCTCATTTACTTATTTCTCATCCATTCTCCATTAAAAAAATAGATGGAACACCTTTCAAGTAAAACAAAGCAGGCAATTCACTTCTCCAAGGGAAAATATAAATTATGGAGAAAAATAGGTTTGGTGCTTTCCGTTCTTTATGCCGTTTTTCATCTGTGGGTAAGGAATAAGAACGGGAAAGTTCTACAAAGGCAGGAATAAAAAAAAATGACTCTTTTGAATGAGTCAACTGTTCCTGTTTCTTCCTTTTTTTCTTCTAAAGAGCCTCCAACACTGTCTCAAAACCTTAAAAAATT